GACAGTCCATTCTCAGTATTCCTTGGTACCCTACTTGTGAATTCACCTACTTCCTAAAATTTATTTATATACCCAAAATCAATATTCATGGCACTTCTGAGTTTTACACAGACATCCTGAGGTGAAAAATTGAGCCATCAACATGCACCTTCCTACCTGAGGTTGAACAAGGTGATACTCTGCCTTATCTCAACTCTCAGACTGCAAACAAGGGAACTTTCTGCAGCCTTATGTTGTTGCTATTGTTAGCCATCATCGAGTTGGTCAACCCATGGTGACCCCATGCACAACAGGATTGAACTCTGCGATACACAGGATTTTCACTGCCTGATTTTTAGAAGCAGATCATCAAGGCTCTCTTCTAGTCTGTCTTAGTCTGGAAGTGCCACTGAAACTTGTTCAGCCTTATAACACACAAGCCTCCACTGACAAATGGGTGGTGGCTGTACATGAGATGCATTAGTCAGGAATCAAAACCAGGTCTCCCACATGGAAGGTGAGAATTCTACCACTGAACCACCACTGCATCATACACCTTATAATAGAGCACTTATGTATCAGCAAGGTGCTTCCAATTTCAGGTCTCTTTCCTTTGCCCTGTTATATTTCATAGTTTTACAAAAGGCCCATCAGAATTGCTGGGCACAGAGCTGGGGCACAAAAATGTTGTTACAGGAGAATGGGGCTTCCATCACAGACTCAGGAAGCAGTGGGGGTGGAAGGCATCCCTCTGCAATTCTCCCCAATGGCTCCTATACTCTTCACATCAACCACATAGGGCCATTACTCCCATCTTAATTTGTAAAAGGTGTGGAGAAATGAACTGCTTTGCCTAAGGTAACATCAAACATTGGTTCTAGAATCTAGTAATACTCAGATAAATGGCAACAGGAACTGAGAACGAGTGTGCCCAGGAGAAGGGAGGCTGCAGTAGAGTGGAGGGTGGGAATAGGACCAAAAAAAAAGATCCTTGAACATGGTTCTCAGAAAGTTGTGAAGAAGTTAAACAATTTCACAAGGAAAGTATTACTCAGGGCTTAGCTATGAAAAAGGAAATAAAAATAAAGCTTTTATTCCTTGAGTTTTACAATTTTCTTTAAAGATTCCCCACCCCTTGTTTGTCCTGCATGTGCATATATGGAAATATAAAGGAGAAACAAAAGGACAACTCAAAAAAAAAAAAAAAGAATCTTTTAATAAAAATTACTCATAAAAACCCTAATAAATTTCAAAGGGCAAGATATTCCTTAGTACATTTATAAAAGAACATTTGGTCCTTTTACAAAAAGCTCCCTTTTAATTTAAATACATTTCTTATTTACAGATTAAACATAAAATATCATCTATAGTTGCAAAGCATATTGCACATTACAGAGAGAGAAGCAATATGAATCTCAACAAGTTTTCTCAGAGTATCCAACTCTAGAATGTTTTCATAAAAACAAATTTACTTTTCATGTGCATAATAAATAAAAAGGCAGCTTGAATTTTACTATTTAAAATTAAACCAAAATAGCTTTTAAAAAATGTTACCCCTCTGCCTCTCAGAAAGAGGGAAGGGGGTGCTAAGTCAGGAAGTTCCACAGGTACTTGACACATTCACCAGATTCACAGCCACATTCAAAGTGGAGCATAACCCTGAGCCCTGCAAGACCTGGGGACACGCAGCCAGCCGCTTTCCCTTTTCATGTTTCTAAGGGGTCCCTGCCCTGCAGGGAAGAGGCACGTTATGGGAGCTGTATGTCCCAGAATGGAAAGGGAAAGGACAAGATATTTTTGTAAGTCCCTGCTCTGCTACTCTGTAGCTGCAGTAATCAATCAGCCCCAAATCTGAAAAAACATCAAGAGAAAGACCTCTGGAGCCCTCCAAAAAGAAGACGGGAATGTCTGAGGTCAAGTCTACAAAACTGCAGTTTGCAATCTTTTAGTAAACTGAGTCCAAAAGAACAGCTAGAAGGGATATTTTCCTTTGGGGTTGGGTGGGGAGGTGGAATCAAGTTGAGACCCTCAATCCAGACTGCACAACTCTACTTGCCAAGCCAGGTAAATGTAAACTTCCTCTGACATTCACTTGCACAGACATTACCCCGATGTATTTGTTTTTAAATAAATAGAAAACAATTTAAGTGGTGTGTGTATGCTCCTCAATTCAAGACAAGAAAGGCCCAGTGCATCCTCAGAACCTGGAAATTCATTTGCACAGAGTATGTTCTGATGGAAGAGCTGGAGCAAACTGAAGGGAAGATTTGACAAGGGAAGCTGGTCTTTCACAAAAGCCAGCACAACCAGGAAGTTAATAAACACTTCCTTTGTCACCTGCTCTTCCTGGGGAATAAAGATCCTACGACCCATCATCTCAGATAGCTAAGTGTGCCCGTAAGGATTCAGAACTTTGCAGTGGAAGAACTAGACTCCACCGAGCCTAAGTAGAAGACAGTTTTCTACAATAGTTTTGCAAAATCATTTTGTGCTGACAAAGTTGACACCAGACACTAGCTATGCACACATATACAAGGATAGCTCAAGCTCACTGCTATTCCAAAAGATGATGCCCACTCTGATTTAGGGCGTGACTGGGGCAAATCACTGAACAAGTGATCTCCCTGACAGCCCCTCCTCAACCCTCCCCTCTCTGAAATTTCAGAGCACAAAAGCAAAGAAAAAGGAAAAGCCTTGCAGGACATATCACAGTTGTGAACATTCTGATTTTTTTTTTTTTTAAGTATACTCTGACTTGGCTCAAATAACCTTCTCTTTATGACCGGCACCAGACAGCATTCTGGCATCTCACCCCACAAAGCACTCACTTTAGCATCCAACTTCACACTAGGTCATCCAGAAGCTCAACCAGGACAGCATGCAGTAACTCACTCACACAATTTCATTCACACAATTTGTACAGGTCTAGTCCCAGGAAGACAAAAGGGTTTGGGACTTAAAAGACCAATCCCACATCAGCCTGAAGCCTGAAAGAGGCATTCACAACATTCAAAGCCCAGTGGAACTGCCAGGCACAGAGCCCTCTTCAGAAGCCTGGAGGGAAGAAACATCCAGGCCCCGGCAAGAGCAGTAGGCAAAGGACCCCGATGAGAAGAGAAATGTCGGCACCATTACATACCACTGCTGCCACAGAAGGTGGAGAGGTCAGCAAGGAGGGACCAAAAGAGAAAATAGACACACTCCCTCCCAGATGTGCCCCTAACTGACCCACTTCACTTGGCCCAGAGAAGAAGATACAGGAATGTGGGTGTGTGTTTTCAAAATGGGACATTTTTGGTTTGAAATGAAAATCATTTAAAACACATATAGCTTTCTCAAAGAAAATTCCTACTCAGTAGATGATACCCTGTCGAGAAAAATAATTATGCTTTTAAAATAAACAAAAAGGGAAAACAGAAGCATTTGATGTTTTTTACTTTGAAACAATTTGCATAGAAAATGTTTAAAAGTTAGAGGTGATACATACATTATTGAAAAATCCCCTTTTAAAAAATCTCAAAGAACTGAATTATACATCTATTTAAAAAAATAGGAACCCTTCAATTTCCAAGAATGAATACAAATTTCTCCCTTTTGATTAAAAACGCAATGGCTTAGACAGCACTTATTTCTAGCTTTCAGACTAAAATGAAATCATTTGAAGTGGACACACAGTGGCAAGTGAGAAACACAGGGAAGCTGGGGTGTTTCTATGGGAAGGCATCCATTCCCAACGGTCCACAGAAGCCAGACGAGGGGATCCAATGCAGCTCTGCATTGTATGGGCACTCAGTGTAAGTTCAAAGAGATACTTCTGTTCTGGTTAAGGAGCTAATAAAAAAGAAAACAAGCATTTTACCACAACCTTTTCCTTGTCTGTATCAGGTTGAAAGTAAAGAATGGCCAAGCCACTTGCAGGAACCTTCCTCACCAACACTCAGTCCCATCCCTGTTTTACTGTAGTCCCACACCATGTGGTGATACAAAACAAGCCTATGAAAACCATAGCAGCAGCTTTGACATCCAGTGACTCAAATCAAAACTAGTGTAAGGCACTCATCTAAAGCCTGTATCAAAGAGAGAACTGCTCAAGGGATGCCAGAAAGTCTCAGACCTTTTTTTCCCCTGACTTAGCTAATTGGCACTAGACACTGAAAACAAAAACCAAACAAACTTCTAACCCAAACATGGTCAGAACTGAGAATCCTTGGTTAGTAAATACGAGACAGACATAGGCTCAGACAATCTTAGGTATTTTTCTCTCCTGAAAAGGCACCTGGTTCTGGAACTATGGACATTCCTCAGGTAAGTTCATATGCAAAATGTCATCCAAATGATCTACCAGTTAACTTCTTAACACTATGAGGTGATAACTTAGGAGACTGCAAGTGGGAATTCTGATAAGACCATTATTCTTATGCAAATAATCTGTAACACTGTGAAGAATACTTCGGGATACAAATGAATCACTATTTTTTTTCCCCATGCAAACAAAACTGGTTGGTATGTGGGGGAGAACCCAATTACTGAATGAGAGGCAGACAGGATGACATTTTCAATACAATAGAAAGGGATACCAAGGAAACCTCAGGCCCTTTTCCAGAGAAAGCCATTCACAATCCCCAATGCAGAGGTAGCAATACTGCAGATATGGCAAGTGCCAGCAAAGGGAAGAGATTTGGACTCTAAAGTATTAAGCTAAGAAAATCAATCTAAAGTTGCCCCATCAATTGTGCTTAGTAACACCAGCATTTCGTAAGAAGCCAATTTGCATGTACCTTCTCATTTCCATTTCCAATTATACCCTTAAGAAAAATAGGGGCATTTTATTGAACAGAAGAGAAATACTAAAGCAAGCAAGAACTAATGACATGTAGGTAAGCAGCTGGACAGAAATCCCTACACCATCACGGATGGCCAGACATCTGTTCTCTTCTTTCCACATCAGACTGGATTTCGGCATAGTCTGGAGTCAGTCATCAATGTGTGACATAAAGCGAGGCCACCTGGAGGACACTAGATCAAATTAAGCCAACCATCTGGTCAATCTGGCGCATGTAGATGCTCTTTAGGGGCAAGGAGTATCTCCTCTCATCAGGAACACGATTGCACTGGAAAGGAAAAAATGAGGGGAAATGTGAATTCTAAATTTAAAGCCCTCAAGAAATGCAGTGGGATGACCTAACCCAGGGATTTTCATCCTCATCAATGATGACATTAGAGGCCTTTGAGTCGGTTCCAACTCATAGGGACCCCAGCTACAACAGAATGAAACACTGCCTGGTCCTCCACCAGCCTCACAGGCCTTGCTATGTGTGAACCCATTGTTACAGTCACTGCGTCGGTCCACCTTGTTGAGCGTTGTCTTCACTGACCCTCTACTTTACCAAAGATGATATCCTTCTCCAAGGACTGGTTCCTCCTGACAGCATGTGCAAAGCACATGAGACCAATTCTCTCCATTCTCCCTTCAAAGGAGGATTCTGGCTGTACTTCCTCTAAAACAGATTTGTTTGTTCTTCTGGAAGTCCCTGGTATATTCAATATTCTTTGCCAACACCATAATTCCAATGTATTAATCCTTCAGTCTTCCTTATTCATTGTCCAGTTTTATACGCATATGAGGTGACTAAAAATACCATGGCTTGGGTCAGGTGCACCTTAGTCCTCAAAGCGATATCTTTGTTTAACACATTAAAGAGATTAATAATTGGGGCAGGATAATTCTTTGTTGTGAGGCCTGTTCTGTGTACTTTAACTGCATCCCTAGTCTTCACTCACTAGATGTCAGTAGCAAGCCCTTCCACAAAGTGATGACAACCAAAAATGTCTCCAAAAATTTCCCAATGTCCCCTGAGCAAAATCACCCCTAGTTGAGGACCACTCACCTACTTTAACACCTTGACAGGTTAAAAAAAAAAAAAAAAATGGAGACCAGAGATGCTAAAAAACAACCTTAGCAAGGACACTGTGGGCAAGACTAAAAGCTGGGTCCTTAATCCATCTAAAATTTTTTAAAAAAAACCTTGAGCTATTTGAAAAGACTGTGGTTTTCCAAGTGTATGATTCTTCTGAACCAGAGCTAAAATCTAAATGCTTAAACAGGCTGTGTATTTTAATTAAGGCTTTTCCACCAAGGAGACATGGGTTTTGAGAACCAGAGGTACTGTCCCTATAAACAGCTGTCCACATCTGTTCATTACAAGCTTCTGATCCACAGATGAAATCTGAGAGGTCCTTCAGCTGGTCCCAGCGGCTCCCCCCACCCATGCCTTCATGCCTTTGTAGGTATTACTCCTTCTGACTGAAAATTCCTTCCCAGGAAGCTGCTCTTCTTCATCCTTCAAGGATCTACTAAAAGAAACCTCCTCAGGGCGTCCCTCCTTCATTTTCTCTGGTAAGTTAATTTCTACTTTCTGTGTTTTTGCAGCCCTCCCGCAGTCCTCTACTTACAAATGCTGAGGCAAGAACCTATACCGAATTGGGAGCCCTCTTCCCTTGTGTGTCCCAGTGCCAGCCCAGAGGGAACAGGCCTAGTAAATGGGCGTCAGGCTGGATGGAGGTGCCACCTTCCTGAAATGGGGGATACACTGCCTGACTCCTCATCCTGCCTCACCACATACTCCACCCTATAATCCCAACCTCTCTGTGTCTCCCTTTCATCTGTAAAATGGGGATATTTAAAGCACCTGCACCTCACAGGGCTGCTGTTATAAGTAAATGAGTTAATAAGTAAGCCCTGAGAACAGTGCCAGGCACAGGATAAGCAGTTATGAGTGTTAGATTATTAACAGTTCTCCCCCTAAGTCTCCTTCCCTCTCCCTGTCATTATGCTTTCTTCACTTGATCATCATCCCATGACCTAATGGAAGTTTGGGGCACATCTCTGCTCCTGCTGGTTAAATGCATTCATAACTAAAGGTACAGACCTTCAACTGGGCAATGAAGGACATCCCAAAGCACAGTCAGTGGTCAAAGAGCTTTCCCTAACCAGGTAGGGTTTACATAATTGGGAGGACCTTTTGCACCACTGTGGTGTTTTTCTGAGAACAGAGATGGCATCCAACACACTGCAGGATAATAAGAGTTGAGATTTCAACTGATTCAGGGTCCTTTCCTCCTTCCTACCTCCAAACCATCCTATTTAATTAAATAAATATGACTCCAAGGGACTTTATGTTCCCAAATCCAACAGGATAACCTAAGGAGTCCCCAGGTGGTACAAACGGTTAAGAGCTGGCTGCTAAATGAAAAGCTAGCAGTTTGAGTCCAACCAGAGGCACTTTGGAAGAAAGACTTCATGATCTAATCCCAAAACATTAGCCACTGAAAACCCTATGGAGCACATTTTTACTCTGACACACATGGGGTCTCCGTGAGTCAGAGTCAACTCAATGGCAATTGGTTTGGGGCTGTATATTTTTTGATCAGGAAAATCAAGGCATGCTCAGTGTAGCCTGTTTTAAATGAAACGGGTTCCTGCTGCACGTCAGGAAGCATCCTCAGCAAAGATCACAATGACTGATGGTTGCTCTCCCTTCTCCTGCTGGCAGGTGACTGTGCTGCATCTCTCAACTAGCCCTCCAAACCCATGCCTGCCGTACTCCTTCCCACTCCAGCCCCCAAGGCTGACCTGCTGGGTTCTATCAACAAGCTCCCTTGCCCTCTGGCTTGTGATGGGGACAGCCAAGAAGAAGCTCCATAAGAGCTATGGGGGAGAGCAGAGAGCAAGGGGAGGCAGGGAGGCAAGTATCTACTCTGCTGGCTTCCCCTTAAGGTCCCTGAAGCCAAAAGCATCCCTCCACAAGCCTCTCTCCTTCCAGGTGCCACAGCCACCTTCTCTACCAGCCCCTCTGGGTCTAAGAGTGACAATAGTACCTACTGCACCTGTTCATTTCCCTACACCCTGTTGACCCCTATGTCACTCTATGAAGCTCTTCAAATCACCCAAGCTGCCTGTGCCAATGATTTTCCGCCAGGACTCTGAATGACACAGTAATTAGCAATAATTTCTCTTCCTCCACATCCAAATCACCTTTGCAACTTACATTGGAGCTGGAATTGATGACTTTTAAGTCTTGAGACTTAGGCCTGTGCACGGGTTTTCCCTCTTGCTCCTGCTCGCCCTGTTCAGAAAAGAATTCCTTCCAGGGTGACTCCCGAAGATGTTTGTCCACAGAGACAATGTGTCCCTCAGTTGTAAACATGTATCTGGTTCCAGATTTGTGTACTGGATTTTCTTCATCAAACAGCTAATAGAAAAGAAAAAGAGAAGAAAAAAGATAGAACTGGTAATCATAGCATGTTTGGGAACACAAACTAGCTCAGAGGGGAGTGTCACACTGCGACCCAGAAGCAATCTCCTTGCACTATCATGTCTGCCAATGACTAACAGGGTGAAAAGTTACTGTGGTAGTTAAGGTTGTCAACTTGGCTGGGCCTGGTTGAGTGGGTTGGGCAGCTGGAGGTAATTATTCCCCATGATGATACTGGCAATCAACTCCATGGTAGAATCGACCACAAGCAGCTGAGTAGCTATTTTAGGGAATGTGATCTGCTTCCCGTATGTAAGGAGAAGCTTTGGGATTGGTCTTTAGCCTTTTGGTACACTTGAACCCTGCATGTAGCCAAGTTGTTGTTCAACAATCTACCATACCCTGCCAATCTTGGGACTTCTTCTGGACTTGAATTAGTGGCCTACTGTGTTGTTTGGTAACATTGGGACTGTGCCCTTTTACTTGTCAACCTTGGGCTTGTCAGCCTCAGCAGCCACCAGCTGTCCGAGTGAAGAAAAGCCTCTAGCTTCAGTGGGCTGGAGCAGGAGGCAGAGCTGAAGCCCAAGGTTGAGGGGCTTTCAGCCAGCCCCTAGAGCCTGGCACTTTGAACTTGGACTTAAAGCCTCCAAAATTGTAAGAGAATAAACTGTTTGTTAAAGCCATCCCATTTGTGGTATATTCCTGTCAGAGCTGTAGTAGGTAACCAAACCAGTTATCTATTATTAACAAACAAACAAACAAAAACCCCAAACTCACTGCTACAATAGTTCCTAATCTGGGCTGCAAAGCTGACTCACCTGTTTTATTTAAACCCAGATGCCTGCTGCCACACCCCCCACCAAACCTACTGATTTAGAAATCCTAGGACTAAGGCCCAAACATAGGTAGTGTGCTTAAAATTCTAGATCTACCCCCCACACCCCAACACACACAACTGAACTCTATATTTTAAATGGCAGCAGGGCGGGAGGAGCAAGTTTTAGCCATCACTGTATCCCCAGGGCCTAGCCCGGACCCAACACACCTACCAACTCTCATGTCTTTGACGAATACATGTGTTAGAACAGGGATTGGGTTCGGAGGACGCAGGGCACACAAGGCCCAGGCCTTTTCTTCACATTGGATGTGGGAGGGGTATGCAAGAGGGTCTGATAGGAGCATCTGGAAAGAACAGCTAATCCACATGGAGACAAGTCAATGCAGGGAAAAGACAGGTGTTCAGAAAATGCTGAACGGATGAACGCTTAGAAAATCTTAGAGGTGAAAAAAACCTTATTTGTCACCTAACCTCAGAGCAGCTTGTCCATGTTCACACAGCTGAATGGGGCAGACACCAGATATTTTTAGTTTTTCCCTAGAGCATCCAATTGGACTCCTTCATGTCCTCCAGAACTCACCCTGTTAGTACCCCTTTGATACCAATGGTTGCTGGACAGACTCAAGGCCAGGCTCTCATGAGCTAGTCACAGTTGGCATAAGCTACCCTGCACTGTAAAGTCGAGAACACTGCAACCAGGGGGGCTTTACAGAGTGACAGTGTTTTTCTCCAGTGACTAGAACTATGTGTCAGTGTGTGGGCATTCTTGCTCAGCAGCAGTCTGTGAAAAGTGGCTCCAGGAGCAGAATAGTAGTCTAAAAGGACTACACCATTTGAGGTACTGGTCAACAGTACAGATTCCTAAGCTCATTTCTAAAACAGCTGACTCAACATGACTGTAATGTTTACAAGACTCCCAAGTGATTCTGATTCGGCTGGTCCCTGGGCTTGGAAACCACTAAACTAGGTAACAACCTATTTCAACCCTCACTGTCTTTGAATCTTAGCATAAATCCTCAGTTACTAGACTATTTTCCCACCAGCAAATCCCAATGCTCTGTGGCTTTAGGAAGCTGCCCTTTATATGTAGCCATACTGAGTAAGTGGCAAGGGGGGAAGACAGTGCTTATGCACATAAACATTGACGCTGTGTATGTGTATGGCATGAGAGTAACATGGAAGAGCATGAAACAAGGAGTCAGGCCCGGGGTTCATGCCTCAGCTCAGCACTTAGTTAGCTAAAGACCCTGGGCAGGTGTCTGGGTAGACCTCAGTCTCCCTGCAGGGACAATAAACACTGACTAGATGATCTCCAATGTTCCTTCCAGGTCCTCTCCACATGAGTGTGTGTCTAGGACTTGTGTATAGATGACAGACAGCTCAGCTGCAGTCTCAGCCATGATCACATGTCCATAGAACTCAGGAAGAGCTAGAAACACGGCTCTCTTTCTCACATGAGCCTTCCTTGGCCACCAAACCAATGCTGGCCCTCTTTATCTTTACCAGCACTTTGCATAATTTTTAATTCACTTGTTTGTTGACTTAACAACTCCTCGACATCAAGATTAGAAACCATGTGAGAATAATATCCTTGTTTTGTTGATGCCTATATCCCAGGACTCACTACAATGTCCACCATGTAGCAGGTGCCCAGCTATTTGCTATGTGAGAGAATGAATGAGTGTATGCTCTAAGCAGTACTACAACTTTCACAGGTTAATTTTGCAACACACATACCAGATACAAGTATTTGCAGGTCTCACTGAGGAAAAAACTCTCCATGCGGTCCTCTTTGGACTTGTCTATGACATGATGCAGTGTGGCATACCCACACCTACAAAAGAGTTGTCCAGTTAGTCATTCCTTCACTCACTCACTTAAGAAATAGAAGTATTCTATATACAGAATAATCCACCAAAAGATCAACCATTACATAAAAAATAATGTTTAAGATTATTTATTTATTATTAACAATAAATATTAATTATAAATTATTATTATTTATTATAAGAGCTAACTTTTTTTAGCTTGGATTTTTTGCTAATTTATTTAAAAGAGTTTTGGCTGTTAAACCATCAGAGTAAATGGAAGAAAGGGCATTTGCCAAAAGCACACGACACCAAGAAAATGATCGGCAACAAATTTATATCTGATTTAAATTTCAGTCCCTCTACTTCTAGAATTGACTTGTCATTTGGGCATTCTAAAAACCGCATTTGCTAAGAAAATTCTTATGATATACGGCTAAGTGGAAAAAATCTGGACAAAAAAATTGAAGTATAGAGTATTTTATATATATATACAAACATAAATATTTTAAGTATATATAATACTTGAATGCTGACTGTGGTTATCTTTGTATGTGGAAATTAGAATGATAATATTGTAACTCTACACTGTATTTCTACAGGAACAATGCAAGCATTATACATTTTTTTGCCATCCACACTATGCCAGAGCTGTTTTCCTTAATTTCATCATTTCCACACATTATAGATGTACAAGTGGGTATGTATTTGTGGGAATATAGGGTATTTTCTATACTCCCTAAATATTTTAATGTGTGAATCATTTATCTAACTAGAAGAAATAAGCTACTTAAAAGGAATATATACACTCTGCTGGAACTTTACAGAAAATAAGGGGGAGAAAAAAAGTAATTCCCACTATCATAGAGATGTTTTACCACACCAAAGAGTGACTTCCCTATGAAATTAACATTAATGGCCTATTCCATGAACTAAAACGTAACACAGAATAACCTTTCACCAGAACAACTCAAAATAAATCAAAAAGGGCCAACCCAACAGAAAAAAAGAAATAACTTAGAAAACTAACTTGACTTTTGTGTGCTTTTCCAGACTCTGCAGAATATCCATTCCTACGTGGAGGTAGAAGGGATTCTTGGTTGCCTAGAGAGAACATGAGAGAATATGATCCAGCAAGGGCTTGGGAGACATGCCAGCAACAATCATCATGGTGCCAGCAGAAAAGGCGAGGGAGAGGAGCCACTGCCCAAAGGAGGAAGCAGGGCCCATTCGCTTTATCTGGAAAGGTCATGAAGAAAGGACTAAGGTGTTCTGTTGGGTTACATCAAACTATATCTATAATTTAACTTGAACCAGGTTAAGACAGTCCACTCCAAGGTAGAAAAAAAATATTTGACTCTGGTTCTCCTGATTCTTATCATGGTCAGAAATGAAACTAAGCTCAATAGTGCCATATCTGAGAATAAATCCAGTCTCTATCCTACCTTGGAGCATATCTACAAACTGAAGATGGAGGCAAAGGAAAACAGGACTTGCCTCTGTTCTACTTCTAGCACCATGAGGTATTATTTGGGCATTCTATCAAGAAAAAGGCTTATGGGACCAAGACTTTCATAAGTACCTAAAGGAGGCCATCACACTTTCTAGTCATCTTGAGAATTATGCCCTTGGGTTGTTTATTCTTCTGTCACATGCTCACAGATGGTTTCATCAGGAGGAAAAAAAGTTTGAGAAGATGGGACTTTTATCCCACAAATAGTTTCAACATTGGAGATTATCTTTAACTCATGCCTTACGCCAAGTTGCAGCAAAAGCAAACTAATGCAAGTTTAAGTGGCTCTGGATTACAAAAGCACAAGATGTGGCTTCCACGGGTGGCCCACAGGAAAACTGAAGGAGATGTCCCAGGATTCTAAAATAGAAAATATGACGAAGCAGCCAAAAATGGGAGAGAGGTGGTGACCCAAATAAAGAAGTATGGACCCAAATGTGCAGTACTAAACTGAGGGGAGAAAGGAGAACAGACTCAGGCACACCCTCCTCTGTGTGGGCAGAGAGGCCAAAAATACCAATGTCATTATTTTCCTTTTCTTAGAGAGAAGGTTATCTAAAACTCAGGAGGTCGCTCTTCAGGCATGATGACTTATACAAGTTTCTTAGGATATTCCCCTCATTTCACCTAGGGGCACAAAGGGCAAGGATTCAGTACCGTATACTTACGCAAATAATGCACATGGTCTGTTTTTGGAGGGCTGCACCCCATGGTATTTTCATGTGTGCTAATTTGGTTTTTTTACATGTTGTAGCAAAGAAAATAATAAAATAGTATAGCATGCTTAAGAAAATACCTAGGGGGAGGATTATGAAAATACTGGGGGGGGGAAGGGGGGGTGGTTTGCATCCAGTTGTCATAGAACACTCAATACATGCATTATTTGCATAAAAATATGTTATATAAGAATTACTGAATACATTTTATATCACAGCACTAATCCTGCTACCAGAGCTTGTAAAAGCAGGGTTCTGCTTGCTAAGGCTTGCCCAAGGCCAAAAGAAAACTAACTGCCATCAAGTCGATTCAACTCACAGCGACTCCTCCTTGGGTTTCCAAGGTGGTATCTCTACAGAAGTAGATTGCCCAATCTTCCTTCCGAAGAGAGCTGGTGGGTTTGAACCACCAGCCTTCTGGTTAGCAGTCAAATGCCTTAAGCACTACACCACCAGAGCTCCCTTGCCCAATGTAGGCATTTGCTAAGTCTGTTGAACTGGATTTAGACCAAACCAAAACCAAACTCACTGTCATCGAGTCGATTCTGACTCACAGTGACTCCCACTGGGTTTCCAAGGCAGTAAATCTTTATTGCCCCATCTTCCTTCCATGGAGTGGCTGGTGGGCTTGAACCACCAGCCTTCTGGTTAGCAGTCAAATGCCTTAGGCACTGTGCTACCAGAGCTCACAGTTCATAGACAGCTGCCTGTAAATGCTAGCAACTAATGCTGCTGCATTTTTTAATGGATGAGGACTCTGTGTTTATAAGTATGGCATGCAGAGAAGTATACATACCCGGCTTACATAGTGTGGAAGAAAGCATTTTACAATTAAATTTACATTCCCTTTGACAGTAAAGTAATTCCACCAAGATGAATGTAATTTTGGTTACAAAAAAAAACAAACTTTAGTGGAAAAAAAGTTTTTTCAAACATTAATCAAAAATGGGCATCCAGATCAATCCCATACGATTTCCTTTACAGCCAAGAAAAAAAAAATGTATTTTTGGTCCCAAATGTTGTTGGTTTTTTTCTTTCTTTTTTTTTTTTTTTTGTCTGAATAACTATTACATAAACCAGGATTCAAAGTACAAGTGTGTAGATTTACATCCTAGCAAACGACACTCTGGTCAAATAAATCTGGAAAACACTAGGTACTGAAATCTCTTTCTTGAGTATTTATGGATCTGAGAAATAACTCCTATAATAAAGCCACTCGTTAGCTTTGCAAAATGTAGGTTAAAAAACATATTTGACCATAAACTCCTGTGTCCTGTGGAACCATGAATGACTTTAAAGATGAACAAGACTACAGATAGGGTGGTAACACTAGCAGGATTGCTATGAAACAACGTAATTCTAGATCAATCAGCAAACGTTCATTAAGAACTAACTGCTACAGTACTTCTGTAGTTTTTAATTAAATACAAGCTGTTGTTAATAAACCCTAGTACCTGATAGAGAAGATAGGTAGATTCCACTAACTCTGGTCTCAATGGGTAGAAGAGAACATCAGGGGCCTGTAGTTGCCAGTTATATCTCTCAGGGAGGGCTCCGTATCGTTTCCATATGGCATAGTAAAATGCATGCAGGCAGATGGCATCTTCCACATCCCCTATCAGAACCTAAGGAGGAGATACAAGTCACCAGACTAAGATCCTTTCCCAGTGCAACAAGCCCTGGGTTTCCTCCCACCACCCTACCACCCTTGTTCTTATCTGATCTATAAACATGGCAGGAGATGTAAACAACCCAAAGTGAGCCCAGCCAAACACATGCTGCCAAATTTAAGGCCAGGAAGTTATGAACTACATAGAAGAAGTCGTCAGGAATACTAATAAACAACTAAGGATACTAGGGATACTAATTAGCCAACTAAGAGAACTGAGAGGTAGATTCTCCAAAATTCACACACAATTACTTTTCTTTTTTTCTTTTCCTGAGCCTTTCCTCAGGGCCCTGGCTGAGAATGGGACTGCACTAGTGCCATCTGGATGCTGCCCTAATGGGAGGTCTGGAGAGCAAGCCCCACTTCATTCGTGGGGAGGGTGGGTCCACCTAGGCATCCTCTCTCTTTTTACCTTTCTCGAGTCTGCCATCTAAACCTTTACTCTCTAGAAGACCAGAAAAATGTCCTCGTGGCCTGGAGAGCCAGGGGAGATGAGAATTTCCTGAAATTCTTTCTTAGGTCTCTTTTCTTTGTTTAAAATTTTATCCCCTTCACCCAATTAAATGTAAGTCTACCTTCTAGTTAGTGGTTTACCCTTTCTTCCCCACCCACCCCTTGTACCCAGCAAAGAATATTTCTTTTATTATGAAAATCCTTTTCTTAACTTTCTAAATGGTCTCATGTATTTGTCCTTTTGTGATTGACTAATTTCACTCAGCATAATGGCCTTTAAGTTAATCCATTTCCCAGAGTCAATAATGTTCTTTAACATTGCATAGTATTTCATCAACACACAATTACTTTTCAAGTATAGATATGCACTTATTTAATATGGCTCTCTCTGTTCACACTCATTCATTTTAGAAACAGAATAATCAAGATATTAGGCTGTTAACCTCTAAATCAGTAGGAACTAGAGAATGTTCTGGTATCCACCTTCCCATCCCAAAAAAAGTTCTTTCCAACCCCTTTCACACTACCTGCAAACCACACCCGAACCCAAGGAGATGACAAGCAAAGAACGTGCTAGAGATTTGGAAACCAATGCTTTTCTAAAAACATCACAGATACTTCCAAGAAACTTCAAAAGTACCATCAGCCTATATGATACAGCTTTATATGACGGGTATACAGAAGGGAGCCCACCACTTTGTTTGCTGGCATGCCAGGTGGTCCTGAAATGAAGATTTCCAATAGAAACATACTGCAAGCCACACACATAATTTTTTTCCTATTTCCCCACAATTTATTTATTTTTATAATTTATTTTTGTTTTTGTTGAGAATATCCACAGCAAAACATACACCAATTCAACAATTACTATGTATACCATTCAGTGACACTGTTGTGCAGCCATTCTTATACTTCTTTTCCAAGTTTTCCACCATTAATGTAAACTCACTGCCCCCTAAAGCTTCCTATCTAATCTTTCGATTACATTGCTGTCAATTTGCTCTCATACAGAGAGATTTTAAAAGGACACAATGCTCGAGCACATACTGTAATTTTAAATTTTCTAGTAGTTACAATTGAAAAAAGAAAAACTAAACTAAAAAGAAACAGGTAAATTGTTTAACTCAATGTTATCTAAAATGCTATCATTTTAACATGTAATAAACATAAAAATTAGTAATCAGATATTTTACATTCTTTTTGTGGTACTAAGTCCTCAAGGTCCAGTGTGGATTTAAGTGACAGCACATTGCCATTCAGATTAGCCTTTTTTTTTTTTTTATTATTGTGATTTGGGTGAAGATTTACAGAGCAGATTCACTTTCCATACAGCAGTTCACATACACTCTGTCTCATGACATTGACCACAGTTTACCACAATGCAACAGTTCCCCTCCCACTTCTTCCCCATAGTTACCCCTTCCCAGTGTCCATCCCTCCATGCACTCCTGCCCCCTGAGCTGTCTCCCTGTGCATAAGCAGCCCCTCTTTCTCCCATGATTGTTCTCTCCAAGGAGTGTATCTACCTCAGGTAAATGTTTAACTCATATGCCTGTCTTTTGTTTGGCTAGAAACCACGGGTGTGGGTTCAATTCCAGACCTGAAGGGTAGCTAGAGGCCATAGTCTCAGTGGTTCCACCAGGCTCTATCAGACCAGTAAACCTGGTCCTCACTTTTTTTTTTTTCTCCAAATGATTTTGAGTTTTGTTCCACATTGTTCTCCCTCTCTATCAAGGATCTCCTACATAGATCCCCTTCCAAGTGGATGACAGTGGTAGCTGGGCACCATCTAGTTCTTCTGGTCTCATAGTTGTATAGGCTATAGATCAGCTGGTGTACCAGTTGCTAGGACTAATTGTTCCCATGAATTTTGGTTTTCTTCATTCTTCTTTGCTCTGAACAAGGAGAGACCCATCATTGCATCTAGATGGCAGCTTGCTAGCTTTTAAGATCCCAGTCACTACTAGCCAAAGTAGGAGGTGGACCAATGTTTTGTATAGTATGTTATGCCAATTGAGCTTGAAGTCCCCTGTGACTATGGTCCCAAGCCCACAGTTTCAACTACTCGATCCCTCTGGGTAGCTGCCTGTTACCAAGCAGTGACCACAGCCTTGCCCCTTGTCAGCTCTACTATACACTTGGGAATTCTGATCATTCATATAAAGTTATAGGACCATTTTCTGCCAACCCTATACATGTTCTTGGATACACTCCCCATTTCATAGACATACCTCATCGTTCAGCCTGTCCACCCATCTATCCACCCATATATCCATATTTGCCTTCACTGACAACGCAGTACTGTATGTGCAAAAGGGTTCATCTTTGTTGTCTGTACTTCCCATGTACTCTGTCTTTCTCATTCTCAAGGCCTCCATATTGGTCACTCACATTTGGTACATTGCCCCTCTCTTCACCCAAATCAATACTTATCTCTATCTATCTAACAGCCTTCCCTCCCCTCCCCTTCCCACCGCTGGTAACCAACAAAGAAAATTTAATTCTATAGATAAACTTTTCCTTAACTTTTACAATAACAGACTAATACAATATTTGTCCTTTTGTGATTGACTTATTTCACTCAGCATAATGTCCTCCAAATTCACCCACGTTATTTGGTATTTTGCAGATTCTACATTATTCTTTAGCATTGCATAGTATTCCATTGTGTGTATGTACCATAGTTTGGTTATCCATTCCTCAGCTGATGGACACCTAAGTTGTTCAGACTAGCCACTTTTTAAGTGCTCACTCAACTAGCCATAGGGCTACTGAATGGTCTGAACATTTACAACTATAGGGACCACATACACAACTTGGACTCCTAGGAGAATCTTGATTCCATACTACTATTCAACTCATAGTATAATTTTTTTGAAAGATACAATCTAACCCAAGGTTTAGCAGAAAGAGGGAATCAGAGAGACTTGCATCTGAAGCCCTGTAGCACCATGTATCAGCTCGCTGGCCATGACAGAGCCTTCTCACCAATCTGATACAGTTGCTTCACCTAGAAAGAGGCCAAGCCTACCATCACAAGGCTGTGTGAGGTTCAAAAATAATGTATGTAAAACCGAAAGGCACAACCAGCCATGTTTCTCATTGTAGCGCTGTTTTCCTTTTGAGATTCTTACCTGTCTCCCCAGAGCCCAGCTCAGGTGCTAACTGCAAGCCCAAGCGAGGTGGGATTTAGAGAGAATCATTGCAGTGTCTGAAAGCCATCCTGATTGGACTTCTGAACCCAACAAACACAGGGAGATTACCTGAATTATGTTATCCGTAATTTTACTTCTTTTTGTTGGCATAATTGGGGTGGGGTGGGGAATCCACCCAAAAGTTTAAAAAAAAAATAAAAAGCTCCCACGTCCTGAATTTTATTATCTAGAGTTCTTTGCAGACTAAACATGGTGGTGGTGGTGGGCGCTGTCAGGATTCCGGCTCATGCTCAATTCCTGGCACAGGTGCCTAGAAATTTTTGGTCCCCTTAAATCCACAAGCTACTACAAAATAAACTCTCTAACTTCATTTAGTTCCAGATAAAGTAAGAAGCTGATTCACTGCTCCATAAAGCTAATTTTTCTTAGCAAATTAACCAATTACTGTAGGGTTGACCCTGACTCAGGGTGAGCCTGTGTGTATCAGAGTAGAACTGTGCTCCATAGGGTTTTCAGTGGCTGATTTTTCAGAAATAGATCACCAGGCCTTTCTTCTGAGGTGCCTCTGGATAGACTTGAACCTCCAACCCTTCAGTTATTCTGTTAACCATCTGTACCACTCAGGGTTCTTGGCAAATATGCAAATCCAAAACCAAATCCATTGCTGTAGAGTCAATTCCAATTCACAGCAACCCTGCAGGACAGAGTAGGCCTGCCCTATAGGTTTCCAGGACTACAATCATTATGGAAACAGATTGCCGCATCTTTCTCCCATGGAACAGCTGGTGGGTTCAAACTGCCAATCTTTCAGTTAGCAGCTGAGCACTTAACCACCGAGCCACTAGGGCTCCTTTCTTAGCAAATATGACCCCAAAATACCTGCAGTCCAGGGAAGAAGGCCTGCAGAGAGTCGATCCAGGTGTTCATCAGCTGCCCACTAAACATGTTCACATTGACATAGAGTGGGGGGTCTCCTTCTCCTTCATTACAGGCCTCCCGACTACAAAACCAAGCAGAGCAATCAAAGGTGAAGGAAAAATCACTGGTAGAGGCAGCCCAACTCATGGCTCCTGGCCTTGCTCTAGCGCTCTTTCTAAAGCAACTTCTGGTCATTTAATTTAAATGGAATCAACACTAACTTTTCCTTTAAATGTGAAGACTAAATGCCACTACTTGTCTTCACCAGACACTGGCTTAAGATGATTATCTACCATAAAACAAAAGTCCTAGACTCAGCTATTTCATCAGGATTTCACTGTTATTTTGCAGAAAGTACTGTGACATTCAGGCTTAAGAACACTGCCACATAACAGAATGTGTTGTCTAGTATGAATTTAACCTGAGTAGCGGAGCCTGGTGATTTCTGTAGCTGAAAGAATCTCTTTTATAATAAGGTCCTACAAGACGGGCCTGGAGGAGCCCATTCAATCAACACCCTCAGGGATCACTACTCAATTTAGTTTTGGGCAAAAATGCCTGGACTCTGGCTAGTCTAACTCAAACACAACTCTCACACACGTGGCTCCTGCAGTGGCTAATGTGGAAATGGATCTATGAATATCCTAGCAAACAAGAAGGTCAGTAGCTATAACTTTCGCTGACCATATAACACATAAGTGCATGCAAAGAAAGATCTGGGGCTGACAGAGATGACACGAGGGTAGAAGCTATTGTAGCCCAGTATAGCTCTCTGTCTCCTGTTATCTTAATTGTAGAACTAAGAAACAACAAATAATTTTGTATTAAAAAACACAAAAAAGGAAAATGTGGTAAATGTCCTTTCTTTCACCAGGACTAAAGGCCATCCTAACAATTCTTTGAAAAGTAAAAGAAAGAAAATAAGCCAATAATTTTTCTCCATTACAGCTCTATCTGTAATCAAAGCTACATTTCACAATGATATGTCACCCCCATAGAGGGGAGCCTCCACAATGGCCCTCAGTGATCCCTGCCTCCAGGTATTCACTCCCTAGTCCCCTCCCACAAAGTGGCAGAATTAGTGTGTGAAAGCAAGAAAATATGGCATATAATATGGCAGAACACAACAGGATTAGGTCAGGACAAGTGCTCTGGCTTCTGTCTGGGTTTCTATCGCTTTCTGTCAGGTCACTTGCTCTAGGGGAAGCCAGCTTCCATAAGCTGCCTACAAAGAAGTCCATGTGGCAGGGAACTGAGATCCCCAGCCAACAGCCAGTGAGGAACAGAAGCCAGCCAACTCAAGTAAGCTGGGAAATGGATCCACCTCTCAAACCTTGAGATGGCTGCAGGCCTGGATGACAGCTTGACTGCTACTTTGAAGCTGAGATCCTTAACATGAACCTTCCAACTAAGTTGCTCTTGCATTCCTGTCCCTCAGAAACGTTGAGAGCTAAAACATTTGCTGTTTTAAGTCATTAAGTTCTGGAGTATTTACTGCAACAATAGAGAGCTAATAGATCTCTTCGCCCCCAAATGACTGACAAATAACTAAGAGAGGGGGTAGGGAAATGTGGGCAGATGAACAGATCCTGTAAATTACAGTTAAGAAAAATATGAACATTTCAGAATGTTTTCTACTTGCTTTATGAGGCAACATAAGACATGTCGAGGATTCATACCCTCTTCTTAAGTAGTTTTGAATACTCTGATATGCAGCATTAAACATTTCTAGATCTTCTTTTTCTCCAAAGAGAATATAAGATTTCAAGAGGTATTCATAAAAGGAGTCCAGGCCAGCACCCAAGCCACTCTGCTTTCCCACCCAGTGGCCGGTCTGAATGTTCACAACATTGCCTGCAAAAATAAACAAGACACTTCAGTTCCCAATTATACCAGCCTTCTACTTCAACCCCACTGCTTCTCAACTCGTTTATCCTTGCCAGTCAGGAAAAGGAGTGAACGCTAGGCCCTCAAACTTCTAGCTGTCAAATCAGTTGCATGGATAGTCTGGAGATCTGAGAAAACAGTATATATTTCCAACACAAAAAATGGGGATGAAAATGTAAAAGAAAACAGCTTTGTCATCTTGGCCTTGCTTGATTGACAACGCATTTCAAAAGCTAATAGTTTTATCATAAATAAAAATGTTGTAAAAAAAGAAAAAGCTTTTACTGAACATTTCAATCAAAGATTCCATAGAAGAAACCTGATCAGAAAGGAAAATGCAGAACAGAATTTCAAATTCTCATGGACTCTAGACTTTCTGGAGCCATAGAGGATGGATAAAACAATCTCAATATTCCCTGAGATAATCTTTAAACCTTAAACCAAAAATATCCCCTGAAGTCTTCTTAAATAAACCGAACAATAGTTTAACTTAACTAGTAAAAAAAAAAAGGTGTGTCTTGAGCATTATGATCTTTTAAGAACTATCTATATAGGATCAAATGGACAATATCAACTTGAGAGGTTAAAGAAGGAACCTTAGGGTCAGTGGGTTGATGTTAATGAGGGAGAAACAACTCAGAAAAGTCGGGTGAGAATGGTTACACAACTCAAAGAATGTAATCAATGTCACTGAAGTATACATGTAGAAACTGTTGAATTAGTATCTGTTTTGCTGTGTATACGCTCAACAACAACAAGATAAATAAAATTTAAAGAAAAAAAAAGTTTTATGTTTTCCACCAGCGAATTGACTATAAAATGGAAATGTAAAAAAAAAGAAAGAATCCAAGTGTCCAACATCAGAAGAACAGATAATGAACGATTATGTGGCTTTTAAACTTGAAATTCTTAAATTCTTAAATAACCTATCAAATATAAGACAGAATAAAAATGTTTATTTACTCTGTAATTTGAAAATTTATAAAAGTTGTGCACGCTGAAAAGGCCTTACAGAAAAAGCTGACAATTCGTGGTCATGGAATCATGGTGACTTTTTTATTTCTACTATACATATTTGTAAGTAAATTTCAGATTGGAAATAATCATCCAAAATCACTTTTTAAAAGCAAGACTTTTGCAATAATAATCTGTCATGGCTCTAGAATGGACAAGTCAAGTGACTTCCAAATGCCAAAAAGAAAATAATTCTCAATATAAGACAGACGTTTACATGAGACAAAAACCCATTTTAAGATGTGGAATTCAGATTTCTGGGGTCTACAGAGTTGGGGTGACTCACCCAGATCATTTGTCCTTAAATGTCCTTTTGAATCCAGAGATTCAAAGTAACTGGCTTTCTAAAAGTCACCTTCGAATCAAACAAAGGTCTAGTAAACTAGTAAGACCATTTGGCCTTTGGGTATTATGCTCTTTTGAAGAATTCAGTCAGTTTCAGAAAACAGAGATTCCAAAAGTCAGACTGGGAGCTTAAGGTAAATCAGGAATTATTTTAATTGTTCTTCAAGAGAATGCTGTATGAAACCCTTCCTGACCACAAACTGTTTTCCAGTTCTATTCCAGCCCTTTTCCATGGCAATGCCGATAAGGTTTGGTATAAGAATTCTGGAAGGTCTTCTCATCTTTGGAACATTCTGGTAGCATAGTGGCTAAGGCACTTGACTGCTAACCAGAAGGCTGGTGGTTCAAACCCACTAGCCACTCCTCGGAAGGAAGGTTGGGCAATCCTACTTC